TACATACCAGTTGTGGGAGTATGGGTTCGAGTCACTTCTGGGGTGTGAGTTTTCAGTTGTATATAGTCCTGGGGACCATTCAGGCTTGTTTGCATATATATATATATATATATATATATATATATATATATATATATATATATATATATATACAGAGCACCACTTGGTTTCCGAACCCCTTGGGGACGAGACCCGTCGGTTAACATGTAAGTTCGTGTACGAGAAATAGAGGGGAAAAAATAAACTAGAAATGTAAAAAGAAATTGTTATGACAAAATTTATGAATAAACTCTAGGGAAAAAAATCGACAGGTTCATAGCGTAATTGCGACCGTGTTTTGTTTGTACTCACCAATAAGTGAAGTCCTGATCCGCTTTATAAAAGTCCTTAATTGTTCCTAACTGATTATTAAGACGACTGGCAAACATCCTCTAGATGTTTCCTGCCAGCCTGCAGGAACATCCTGCCAGCCTGCAGGAACATCCTGCCAGCCTGCAGGAACATCCTGCCAGCCTGCAGGAACATCCTGCCAGCCTGCAGGAATATCCTGCCAGCCTGCCTGCCAGCTTGCCTGCCAGCCTGCAGGCACATCCTGCCAGCCTGCAGGCACATCCTGCCAGCCTGCAGGCACATCCTGCCAGCCTGCAGGCACATCCTGCCAGCTTGCAGGCACATCCTGCCAGCCTGCAGGAACATCCTGCCAGCCTGCAGGCACATCCTGCCAGCCTGCAGGCACATCCTGCCAGCCTGCAGGAACATCCTGCCAGCCTGCAGGAACATCCTGCCAGCCTGCCTGCCAGCCTGCCTGCCAGCCTGCTTGCACATCCTGCCAGCCTGCTTGCACATCCTGCCAGCCTGCAGGAACATCCTGCCAGCCTGCAGGAACATCCTGCCAGCCTGCCTGCCAGTCTGCAGGCACATCCTGCCAGCCTGCAGGCACATCCTGCCAGCCTGCAGGCACATCCTGCCAGCCTGCAGGAACATCCTGCCAGCCTGCAGGAACATCCTGCCAGCCTGCCTGCCAGCCTGCAGGCACATCCTGCCAGCCTGCAGGCACATCCTGCCAGCTTGCCTGCCAGCCTGCAGGCACATCCTGCCAGCCTGCAAGCACATCCTGCCTAAAATATACGATGATGTACTGTACATTTAAGAAACAAATCTGGGTCACAGGTCTGTGGAGTGTGGTTAGGCTTACGGAGTCAGCCGGTCCCTCCCCCACCACCGACACACCTCCCCCTCTCCCCCCACCCCAAACCCATACACACACACTCTCAAAGGTCACGTGGTTCATGGTTCACTTCAACACCCATATATCGCTTCCTGCCTGCCTGCCTCCTTCCCAGCCTGCCTGCCTGCCTCCTTCCCAGCCTGCCTGCCTGCCTGCCTGCCTGCCTGCCTCCTTCCCAGCCTGCAAGCCTGCCTGCCTGCCTCCTTCCCAGCCTGCAAGCCTGCCTGCCTGCCTGCCTCCTTCCCAGCCTGCAAGCCTGCCTGCCTGCCTGCCTCCTTCCCAGCCTGCAAGCCTGCCTGCCTGCCTCCTTCCCAGCCTGCAAGCCTGCCTGCCTGCCATCATGCTAACGGGTAGTGTGTGTTAGGCTTATCTTCGGGAATGAGCCGGTCTCGCCCCCACCACCCGCCCCCCTACATCCCATAGTCTCTTTTAAAGGTCACGCGGTTGAACCGCGTGACTACCACTCACTCACTCCCTGCCTGCCAGCCTGCCAGCCTGCCTGCAAGCTAGCCTGCCTGCCTGCCTGTGCCTGCCTGCCTGCCTTTCCCTCCCTAATTCTCACTACTTCCGTCCCTTCCTGCCTACCTCCTAGCATCTCTCCCTACCTCCCCCTCCCTCTTAGCATCTCTCCCTCCCTCCTAGCATCTCTCTCTCCCTCCCACTCCCTCCTAGCATCTCTCTCTCCCTCCCACTCCCTCCTAGCATCTCTCCCTCCCACTCCCTTTCTGACTAATTCTTTCCCCCTCTCTCATACTGCCTCCCACCTAAGCTCCCTCATCCATCCACCCACTGGTCAGCCATCACTGACGCAATGCGTGGATTTGGAGCCGACATGGTGCACAGATGTTTCTTGATTGTGCAGATATGTAAAACAAAAGCACAGAATGAACATTCCAGCCTTATGGCAATTCAAAATAATAGGAATAATAGGCCGTGAATCTGAAGTCACAGTGGGCAAACTGGACCATCTCCCACCCACCACAACAAGCCGGCGTGACGCTTGGCGGACCCCTTCCCCTTCCCTTCGGGTAGCATGACTCCCCAACCCCAATCGGGAAACTGGAAGTTTCGGATAACTAAAGTTCGGAAACCAAGTGGTGCTCTGTGTATATATATATATATATATATATATATATATATATATATATATATATATATATATATATATATATATATATATAATTATATATATATAATTATATATATATAATTATATATATAATTATATATATATATATATATATATATATATATATATATATATATATATATATATATATATATATATATATATATATATATATACAGTGGAACCTCTATTAATGAGTGGCTCTATTAACGAGTTTTTCCAGTAACGAGCAAGCCACTCGCAGCAAATTTGTCTCTATTGACGAGCTCGCCTCTATTAACGAGTGAAACCACATGGCGCTTCCTAGCGTCTCGTGGGTTCTCGCAAATTCTCGGACGCCTTCGACGCCAGTGTTGTTGTTGTATCTCACACGACAAGCATCCCTCTGGATTTATTTGAGCTTTTCTTTGGGTTTTTAGTGGTTTTGCAACTACAATTTGTAACACACGATGTCTCCAAAGCTGCTGCTTGCTAAAGATTGTGTTGTCAAGAGGAAGACACAATTACTGTGGATTTAAAGAAGGAAATTATAGCAAAGCATGAGTGTGGTGTCTGTGTGATTGATCTCGCAAGGAAGTATGGCAGGTCCTCATCAACAATTTACACCATTAGTAAGGGAATGAAGAGGTAAGGGAGGATGCTGCCTCTTTCACTGAGATCAGGGAAGTGTTTGGAATGTTTGAAAAGGTGAACGCATTCTTGGAAAAGCTGCCCTGATAAAGCAGTGACAACCCGGTGTGTGAAAATGTTTAATTTATCACTTTGTGATAACACTTTATGAAAGTGTTATCACTTTCGCAGGTATATGTCGCTTGAACGTAACACACTTTTTTTCTCTTGAATGTACCCAAACACCGTGCTCAAGCGTCATTTGAGCAAATATTTCTATAAAATCCAATTCTTATCAGATCGACTTGGGGATTGTATACATGTTTGCCATGAAATTTCCGTTTTATTTAATAACCACATTGCCTATTTGAGAAAACGGCATTGTATTGTATCTTCGTGGTAAGACTATTATATTGTTGACACAACGAGTGTAATCAACGTAGTTTTTTATTTGGTGCTGGTCTAACGCATCCTTGTGTGACATTTGAAATGAAATTTGGGTGAAATTCCCAAGAAGAGAGAGTCCACCTGACTCAGAAGTGTATTCTCCTTCCACACCATAACCCCTCTCATCCTTCCCACCTCCCCATCGTCTCCCTCAAGCCAGCAACTACTCTTCATAAGGTAAAGTAAATATTAAAACACTATAACAAAACATTTATATTTACATGTGCAATATTATATTTACATAAAAAAAAGTCATACAAGTATGGATGTTTTTGGGAGTGGAACGGATTAAATTTATTTCCTTTATTTTAAATGGGGAAATTTGTTTCCAAAGACGAGTTTTCCAGGTAGTAGCCAGAACTCACTTCTCAGCCTACTATGCAAGGCTCGATTTGCCTAATAAGCCTAGTTTTCATGAATTAATGTTTTTTCGACTACCTAATCTACCTAACCTAACCTAACGTTTTCGGCTACCTAACCTAACCTAACCTATTAAGATAGGTTAGGTTAGGTAGGGTTGGTTAGGTTCGGTCATATATCTACGTTAACTTTAACTCCAATAAAAAAAAATTGACCTCATACATAATGAAATGGGTAGCTTTATCATTTCATAAGAAAAAAATTAGAGAAAATATATTAATTCAGTAAAACTTGGCTTATTAGGCAAATTGGGCCTTGCATAGTAGGCTGAGAAGTGAGTTCTGGCTACTAGGTACGACATATATATATATATATATATATATATATATATATATATATATGACAATGTCAGACCACGGAGGAAAAATGAAACAGGAATTTCCTTAATTTAAAGGAAATTCCTGTTTCATTTTTCCTCCGTGGTCTGACATTGTCATATATATATATATATATATATATATATATAACTGAAAACTCACACCCCAGAAGTGACATATTGCATATTGCATATGCACATAGAAGTGCATATTGTCCTGGGGACCATTCAGGCTTGTTCGCATATATATATATATATATATATATATATATATATATATATATATATATATATATATATATATATATATATATATATATATATATGTCGTACCTAGTAGCCAGAACGCACTTCTGAGCCTACTATGCAAGGCCCGATTTGCCTAATAAGCCAAGTTTTCATGAATTAATTGTTTTTCGACTACCTAACCTAACCTAACCTAACTTTTTCGGCTACCTAACCAAACCTAATCTATAAAGATAGGTTAAGTTAGGTTAGGTAGGGTTGGTTAGGTTCGGTCATATATCTACGTTAATTTTAACTCCAATAAAAAAAAAATTACCTCATACATAATGAAATGGGTAGCTTTATCATTTGATAAGAAAAAATTAGAGAAAATATATTAATTCAGGAAAACTTGGCTTATTAGGCAAATCGGGCCTTGCATAATAGGCCAAAAAGTGCGTTCTGGCTACTAGGTACGACATATATATATATATATATATATATATATATATATATATATATATATATATATATATATATATATATATATATATATATATAATACAGAGAGAGAGAGAGAGAGAGAAATATAATTATTTATTTATGCAAAAATGTCTTGTAACCAGGTGCTCCATGGAGACTTAGCAGCTCGAAATGTGCTTCTGGCTGAAAGAAATATTGTCAAGATCAGTGACTTTGGACTTTCAAAAGACGTTTACAAAATTCAAAACTACAAGAAAAAGAGTGATGTATGTATCTTGATTTCCCTATACTAATTTAGATTTAGATTTAGAAGTAGCTTTTTTATTCAGGTAACGGTACATAATTTGAGGATGAGTTACAAACATAATGTTGGATTTAAAGATAAAGCTAGTACATACAATACCTAAAGCAACTAATATGCATAGCTTTTTGGGCGAACTCTTAAACTGGTTGATTTAATTTAGAATATTATGCAACAGCCAAAGTAATATTTCTTACAAAAAAGTCCTCCAAAAAATCGAACCCACTTCCAAGATGGCAGAAATTTGTTTATCTTAAAGTTGCTATTGTTTGATATTACCATTTTCTTATAACAACATTCTATGTATTTACTCGGTGCAAATATATGGTATAGTTATGCATTAATAGATCAGCTTTACCTTCAGTTTTATCATTTTTGAATTCTAGTTTGTGTCTTATTTATCTTGTGTGGTCCGTCGTCAAGTCATATCAGATGATGAAGTGACGAGGTTTCTGGTCTGTCCTGAACCATTATGAAGTCTCCACACACCACTTGATAATGGTCCAAAGGCTAAATTTACGAAGTAGTTACGCAAGCACTAACGAACCTGTACATCTTTTCTCAATCTTAGGTGGCTTTGTTTACAATTATTAAACAGTTAATGAGCTCCGAAGCAACAGGAGGGTGTTTATAACAATAACAACAGTTGATTGGGAAGTTTTCATGCTTGAAAACTGTTCAATAAATGTAACCAAAGCCGTCAAAGATTGAGGAAAGATGTACATGTTCGTAAGTACTTGCGTAACTGCTTCGTGAATCTGGCCCCAGGACGGACCGAAACGTTGTCGCTTCTCCATCTTCTGGTGAGTAGTTTGCTCTCATACCATCAGCCTCGCTCCTGTGACGCATCGTCTCCATATCTTAAGACTTGTTATTTAGTTAGATATTAGATTTGTTAGATATTATGTCACTGCACATCCTCTCATGTGTGCTCTATATATTTACAATTCTGAACTGTAATGTCAGTCCTGACCTTAAAAGCTTCCTACAAGATTGTAACAGAACCCATGAGCACCACACCAGAAACAAATACCTATTTGATATTCCAAGAGTGCAACTTAACCAAACTAGAAATGCTCTACAAATCAAGGGACCCAGAACGTGGAATGACCTTCCCAATCATGTCAAAGGCTGTACCTCTCTCAACCAGTTTTAGAGTAAAACTAAGCACTACCTAATTAACTCCATGTCACCTACCTTACCCCTAAATGTCAACCCGTGTCTTGCTATTTTAAACAATGCTGTTTGTTGACCAACTGGTACAATTGCTGATTTTTGCCATGTCCCCCACTTTTTTTTTTTAAACATAATTTATACTTTAATCTCATTTACTATTAAGTTTTAGTCTTAGTGTCTTCCCCACACACACACACACACACCTTCCCCGAAACACTATGCGTATTAGTGGTTTAAGTATAGTATATACTAGCTCTATCTATACAACCAACATAATGTTTGTAACTCTTCATCAATGTATGTACTTTTACCTAAATAAAAATTTGATTTTGATTTTTAATTTGAATTAATATGTGTAAGGAATATTTGTTGACACTAATATTTCACTTAAATTTCCTCACCATATAAATTTATCATTGGCCAACACTATCTGTACCTTCAGCACCAATGGTGACTTGTCGCTTTTGGTAAGTTTTGACGCAGAGTATCACTACCACCATCACCCATAGTACCCGTGAGTGACTGACCCACCACCACCCACAGTACCCATGAGTGACTGACCCACCCATCACAGTACCCGTGAGTGACTGACCCACCACCACCACACACAGTACTCGTGAGTGACTGACCCACCACCACCACACACAGTACCCATGAGTGACTGACCCACCACCACCCACAGTACCCATGAGTGACTGACCCACCACCACCCACAGTACCCATGAGTGACTGACCCACCACCACCACCCACAGTACCCATGAGTGACTGACCCACCACAACCACCCTCAGTACCCATGAGCGACTGACCCACCACAACCACCCTCAGTACCCATGAGCGACTGACCCACCACCACCACCCACAGTACCCACGAGTGACTGACCCACCACCACCACCCACAGTACCCACGAGGGACTGACCAACCACCTCCACCCTCAGTACCCATGAATGACTGACCCACCACCACCCACAGTACCACGAGTGACTGACCCATCACCACCACCCACAGTACCGACGAGTGACTGACCAACCACCATCACCCACAGTACCGACGAGAGACTGACCAACCACCATCACCCACAGTACCGACGAGTGACTGACTCACCACCACCCACAGTACCCACGAGTGACTGACCCACCACCACCACCCACAGTACCCATGAGTGACTGACCCACCACCACAACCCACAGTACCCATGAGTGACTGACCCACCACCACCACCCACAGTACCGACAAGTGACTGACCCACCACCACCACCCACAGTACCGACAAGTGACTGACCCACCACCACCACCCACAGTACCCATGAGTGACTGACCCACCACCACCACCCACAGTACCGACAAGTGACTGACCCACCAACACCCACGGTACCGACGCGTAACTGACCCACCACCACCCACGGTACCGACGCGTGACTGACCCACCACCATCCACAGTACCCACGAGTGACTGACCCACCACCACCACCCACAGTACCCATGAGTGACTGACCCACCACCACCACCCACAGTACCGACAAGTGACTGACCCACCACCACCACCACCCACAGTACCCATGAGTGACTGACCCACCACCACCACCCACAGTACCGACGAGTGACTGACCCACCACCACCCACAGTACCGGCGAGTGACTGACCAATCACCACCCACAGTACCCACGAGTGACTGACCCACCACCACCCACAGTACCCACGAGTGACTGACCCAGCACCACCACCCACAGTACCGATGAGTGACTGACCCACCACCACCACCCACAGTACCGACGAGTGACTGACCCACAACCACCACCCACAGTACCGACAAGTGACTGACCCACCACCACCACCCACAGTACCCACGAGTGACTGACCCACCACCACCACCACCCACAGTACCCACGAGTGACTGACCCACCACCACCCACAGTACCGACGAGTGACTGACGCACCACCACCAACCCCCAAAGTACCCATGAGTGACTGACCCGCCACCACTATCACCCACAGTACCCATGACTGACCCACCACCACTACCCACAGTACCCATGAGTGACTGACTCACCACCACCACCCACAGTACCCATGAGTGACTGATCCACCACCACCACCACCACCCACAGTACCCATGAGTGACTGACCCACCACCACCACCACCTCCCACAGTACCCATGAGTGACAGACCCACCACCACCCACAGTACCCATGAGTGACAGACCCACCACCACCCACAGTACCCATGAGTGACTGACCCACCACCACCACCACCCACAGTACCCATGAGTGACTGACCCCACCACCACCCACAGTACCCACGAGTGACTGACCCCACCACCACCCACAGTACCCACGAGTGACTGACCCCATCACCACCCACAGTACCCATGAGTGACAGACCCACCACCACCCACAGTACCCATGAGTGACTGACCCACCACCACCACCCTCAGTACCCATGAGTGACTGACCCACCACCACCACCCACAGTACCCACGAGTGACTGACCCACCACCACCACCCACAGTACCCACGAGGGACTGAACAACCACCTCCACCCACAGTACCCATGAGTGACTGACCAACCACCACCACCCACAGTACCGACAAGTGACTGACCCACCACCACCACCCACGGTACCGACGCGTGACTGACCCACCACCACCACCCACAGTACCGACAAGTGACTGACCCACCACCACCACCCACAGTACCCATGAGTGACTGACCCACCACCACCACCCACAGTACCGACAAGTGACTGACCCACCACCACCACCCACGGTACCGACGCGTGACTGACCCACCACCACCCACGGTACCGACGCGTGACTGACCCACCACCACCCACGGTACCGACGCGTGACTGACCCACCACCACCACCCACAGTACCCATGAGTGACTGACCCACCACCACCACCCACAGTACCGACAAGTGACTGACCCACCACCACCCACAGTACCGACGAGTGACTGACCAACCACCACCCACAGTACAGACAAGTGACTGACCCACCACCACCACCCACAGTACCCATGAGTGACTGACCCACCACCACCACCCACAGTACTGACAAGTGACTGACCCACCACCACCCACAGTACCGACAAGTGAGTGACCAACCACCACCCACAGTACCGACGAGTGACTGACCCACCACCACCCACAGTACCCCTGAGTGACTGACCCACCACCACCCATAGTACCCATGAGTGACTGACCCATCACCACCCATAGTACCCATGAGTGACTGACCCACCACCACCCACAGTAACCATAAGTGACTGACCCACCACCACCGTCAGTACCCATGAGTGACTGACCCACCACCACCCACAGTACCGACAAGTGACTGACCCACAACCACCACCCACAGTACCCATGAGTGACTGACCCACCTCCACCCATAGTACCCACGAGTGACTGACCCACCTCCACCCATAGTACCCACGAGTGACTGACCCACCACCACCCACAGTACCCATGAGTGACTGACCCATCACTACCTACAGTACCCATGAGTGACTGACCCTCCACCACTCACAGGGACCAGTACCCGTCAAGTGGTTGGCACTGGAGTGTCTGAAGGACGGGGTCTTCTCCATCCAGAGTGACGTCTGGGCTTTCGGGGTGGTCATGTGGGAAATATTCAGCCTGGGACGAAGCCCATATCCTGGAGTAGATCTTGATGAAAATTTCATTAAAATGCTTGAGAATGGAGTTAGGCTGGAGAAGCCCAGATATTCCACTGACGGTTTGTGAGTCCAAAATAGTTGTTTCGTTAAGTCATTATTACCATTGATGCAAGAGTGCCATGTCTTATATATATAATATATAGAGCAAGTGGACCTGTGTCCACTAAGTATAGTCTATCAATAGCTACTCAATACTGTACAGATAATTAAAAAAATACTGATTAAAATTTAAGTTATTCATTATATAATATATTATATGCTATATTTTAGATATGGTATAATGCTGGACTGCTGGAGAGCTAACCCTCTAGAGAGACCTTCCTTCTTACACCTCCAACACACACTTGGAGAAATAATGGGCGAGACAGAGAAACAGGTGTGCACACATAATAGCAGTGTTGTCGTTAAACAATGTATTATAGTTAATAGTAGGTGTCTTGGTATAAAATATTTTATAACATTTTCTTAAAAAAATTCATCTTGATTATTTTCCTGTATATTCTGTGAGATAGACAACCCATCATTAGAGCAGGTTTTTATTTTCATTGAATAGTAGTATTTGTCTTCAAAATATTTGTGAAGATTTTCAAGTCCGAGGAGTCCACTTTCAGACTGAGACAGGACAAGTACAGTGCATCCTCCAGTTCAGCAGTATTGCTTATGTGTTTGGCTTCGTTGGGGCTATCAACCATGGAAGAATTATTACGACCACCACAACAGCTTACTGATGAACCAACAAAGATTATGTAGCCCTGAATATAGTCCAGGACTCGAGTAACCTCTCAGTGTATATACAAAGAGAAGTGGAGTACACCTGTCAGCGTATATCCCTTGCCATAGGATATGTATGAATCAGATGAAGAATAGCAAGACTGTGGAGATGGGGTTACATTCCGGAAACTTGCGTAATCCAAACTGAAAACGAACATGTATTCAGAAAACCGCATAAACCTCGCCTAACATCATTCCAATAATCTCATTCACGAGCATGTTTGTAAACAGCAACTCAACATTCAGAAAAGATTTCACACCTGATGTATGCAATCCTAGCAGTAAATCAACAAATTCCCTCGGAGACTTGAGGCTGAGAGTACAAGCAACGCAAGAAGTCAGCAGGGGTTCGGGTCTCTTAGTCTGTACGTGGGTGTAGCTCTCTGGTTAATGATCGGACAAAGTGGGTTACCAGGTTTGTGGGTCTTATATGGTTCACAGGCACAGCCAGGCTTGTACTCTCCAGTAACATTCGACAGGTGATCTCAGAAATCGTCAACAGGTAGATAGGTAGGTAACAGGTCTTTTGTGCCTTTAGCCTTAAGTCTCCAAAGGAATTTGTCGACTTGTTATGATGGTCCCAGGCAGCGGATGTGAGAGCTTATCTGGATATTGAGTCGGTGTTTACCAACGTGCTCCTGGATGAGACTTTTATTATGATGTTGGATGAGTTATGACGGGATCCACCTGAAGTAAGACCCCCTCCCCTTCCGGCCCGTTGGCGTCGTGAGGGGACTTGGTGGACGGCTGCCGGAGTGTGATGCTCCGTTGGGCAGTCCTCTGTCCTTTTCTGGCCTTGCACTCCTGCTGCTGTCTTCTCCAATTTTGCCGGATCGCTTTTCCTTTTCCTTATGTTTCGTTTTTCTCCCCCCTCTTCTCCTATCTGCTTGTCGTTTCCTGCCGACCTTTTGCTTGTTTTGGATTATTTCTTCGGACTTCTTCTATTTTGACGCCCGGGTGCTTGAGGAGGCATACTCTTGCACCCGTAGAACTGTAGTACCCGACGTCTCGAGCGAGGGGAACCTTTTATTGTCAATCCCCCTTTCGTCGCTGAACCCGATCTCGACGGACTGACGGTTCTTAAGGTGGCGTTTGTGGGGCGTATACTCACGACGCACCCCTAGGGGGCCCCGGCGTGATCAGCGATAGCTTCCTGTTGGGTGTCCTGCCTCTAATTGTGGCTCCATGGTGGGTATGGGGGCACATTCGTGGATGAATTTGTCACTTTTCGTCTCTATGTCGTTGAATGTTTCCGTTGTACCCTCTCAGGCTCGTGGGGTGGGCGACCAAGCCCCCGAGTCGGCCTGTATTGGAAGACCAGGCTCTGTAGCTCCCGCTGCGTTGGGCCCCGACCTTGCTCCTCCTTTGACCGTCCTGACTTCTTCCCCCAGCTCCCCTCCCTCCTCTGAGGTTGGGTCGAGCCTCCAGCCCCCGGTGGTGACCACTTCGTCCCCTGGTGTGGCTAAGTCTTTCGTTGTGACTACTGCGCCTTTTGACCCCTCTCTCTCTAGGGGTTCTCAACGCCGTTCGCGCCCCAACCGCACTCGCTCGATTCCTTCCCGTGCTGATGCGTATCAGGCCTTGTTTGGTCCTGCTTCATGGGCCAAATACTTTGATCTCCTCCCTCTTGATTCTGCGCCTCCTGACGATTTCTCCCTCCATCGGCATCTTGTAGATTCCGTGGATGCGTGTGTTACTTTCAACCCCACTCGTCTCGGTACACGTGTCGTTGCTGCTCCTTCTCAGGATGCGGCTTCCCGCTTGGCTGCCTTATCTTGCCTTGGCGAGATCCCTGTTCGGGTCTCCAAGAACGTTCAGATGAATTCCAGTGTTGGCACTATTCTCCTCCCACCCCATGTTGCAACCGGTGTTCGGAATCTGCAGGATTGCCACGATGATATTCGGCATATCCTTGATGCCCAAGGCCATTCTGTCCTCCAGGTTGACTCGTTTACTCGTCCCCCTCGTGGTCGTCGACGTCAACCCCTTCGCGTTGTGAAGATCACCTTTGATGGTAGGACCCTTCCATCCTCTGTCATTCTTGCTGGTGCTAGGTGCTCTGTCCAGGAGTATATTCCTTCTCCTCGACTTTGTAATAAGTGCTGGAGGTTTGGGCATGGTGCCCTCCGCTGCTCTGGGACTGTCTCTCTCTGTCCTTTGTGTGGGAGTGAAGGTCACTCTAAGTCGGAGTGCACTTCTCCCCAAGCTCGCTGCCTCAACTGCGGTGAGGCCCATCCTACGTTCTCCCGTGCCTGTGTCCATTACAAGCTTGAGGCGGCCGTCCTTAACCTGAAGCACCGGGAGCGTTTGTCTTTTCCTGAGGCGAGGCGCCAGGTTCGCCGGCTCCCGCCTTATACTAACATCTCTTATGCTCGCGTGTTGCGCTCTTCCTCTCCTCGTCCTTCCCCCCTTCCTCAGACTCTCAACCGTTTCCGGGCCTTGGACCCTGATACGCCCACTGCCCCCTCCTCTGTTCCTTTGAGTTCTTTCCCGAGGGGTCCCCCTCCTGGTCCTCTGTCTGGGGTTCCCCTTCTTTCCACCCGGTCTGTCATGTCTCCTGTGTCTTCTTCCTCGTCCCCCTCCGATCCTCCTTCCCATCCTCTTCCTCCATCTCTCGGCTCTCCCCGCCGCCTGTCGGTGCAGGCGGATGTCCATCGCTCTCCTAACGGCCGTCGTGTGTGCTCTCGTTCGGCTTCTCCTGTTGAGACGCTGGAATCCGTTGCCCGGTACGTAGTTGCTGGGACACCTGTCTCTTTAAGTCAGAAGCGTAAGCCTGGCTCCTCTCCTTCCTCTTCCCCGGCGGGTAAGAAGGCTTCGCTTTCTTCCTTAGCTCCTACTTCTGGCTCTGTTGCTCCTTCCCCTCCCGTTTCAGTGGTTGCACCCCCTGTTCCTGCTATGGAGGTTTCTTTGGCCCCTGCTTCCCTTTCGGTTGCTGCTCTTGCTGGGGTGCGCTCCCCTCTTTCTACTCCCCCTCTTCCTACTGCTGTCCTTGACCGCTCCTCTCCGTTGTCTCCTCCTCTTCCTCCTCCTCCTCCGGACCCCGCCCGCCCACCTCTGATCTGTTCTCCCGTTTCCTTCCCTCCGTCTTTGCTCAGTTTACCCATGCCCCCTAACCCTGACTTTGCTGACCCTGATCCCGACCCTGATATTCTTTAACGTGCTCTGTCGCTCTTTCGCCTTTGTTTCTTCCTTGTTCTCTGTTTTTGTCCTTTCTCTTCCCGTCGTTGTCCATTCTTCAATGGAACGTTCGAGGTTATTACGCCAATTTCCTCGAACTCCAACTTCTGATTTCGCGGTTTTCGCCCCTTTGTGTCTGTCTCCAGGAGCCAATGCTTGGTGCTCGTCCTGGTCGTTTTCGTGGCTATTCCTTTCTCTCCCCCCCCCCAGCCATTGCTGGGGCTTCTAATTCTTCTGCTCTCTTGATTCGTGCGGATGTTCCCTTTGTTCCTTTACTTTTTCCTTCGCCTCTCCATTGTTCTGCTGCTCGTATCTTTGTGGGGAAATGGTACACAGTTTGTTCCATTTATCTCCCCCCGAGTGTCCCGCTCTCTCTTCCTGATTTGAAACACCTCCTAGACTCCTTGCCGGAGCCTGTGCTCCTGCTGGGTGACTTCAATTGTCGTCATTCTCTTTGGGGTGACGTTCTGACGAATACCCGGGGTCGCCTCCTTGAGCCGTTTCTCCTATCTTCTTCCCTGTCTCTTCTGAATTCTGGTGAGCCCACTCATTTGGACTCTCGGACTCGCACCCTTTCTTGTCTTGATCTTTCTCTCTGCTCTTCTTCTCTTTACTTAGATTTCACGTGGCAGGTTCTTGATGACCTCCATGGAAGTGATCATTTCCCCATCCTTGTTTCCTTTTTCTCTTTTCGCCCTTCCCTCTCTTTCCCTAGGTGGCAGTTTGCTAAGGCAGACTGGACCCTATTTACCCTCAGTGCTGCTCTCTCTGACCTCTCCCTTCTGCCTCTCTCTCGCGCTCTCCTCCTTTTTCATGACACTGTCTTCAACGCTGCCCTCCGCTCTATTCCTCGCTCTTCCTCTCGGGGTCCGCGGAAGTGCGTTCCCTGGTGGAATGCGGACTGTGCTCGGGCTGTCCGCTGTAAGCGTGCAGCCTGGAAGAGGCACCGCCGTAGGCAGACGACCGATTCTTTTCTTTTCTTTCGGAAAGCGAGTGCGGTGGCCCGTAGGGCCATCCGTACGGCTAAACGTGAATGTTGGGCATCTTATGTCTCAACACTTACGTCCGAAACCCCTCTGGCCCAGATCTGGAAGCGTATCCGCAAGATAGCGGGTAAGTTCGTTCCCGATGTTTCACCGGTCCTTCACCTCCATGATACTCTTGTGGCGGACCCGTTGCAGGTCGCTTCCGAACTGGGTTCCCACTTTTCTTCTGTTAGCTCTGGTCTCCATCTTCCCCAATCTTTCCTTCTTCGTAAACCTGTCCTTGAGTCTCGTCCTTTAGATTTCTGCACTCATCTTCAGCTTCCCTATAATGATCCCTTCTCTCTCTCTGAACTTCGTTCTGCTCTGGCCCTCTGCGGTTCTACGGCGGCGGGCTCCGATGGTATTCATTATGAGATGCTTCGCCATCTCCCTCCGAGCACGT